GCCTGCTCCGGTAAGGGGGCCCCTCCCTGTGCCCCCCGACTCCCAGCCCTGGGGCCCCTCCCACAGCCGATCCCCCCCCTCCCCGAATGGGGTCCCACCACGACCCCTCGGGGTGCAGGGAATTCCCTCGTTCACCCCCCAAGGCCCCTGGTTGGGTGGTGACATCCCAGCTCCCCAAATCCCCATTCGGAGGGAATTTCCAGCCGGTGGTGTTCGCGTCCGGAGACGGCGAAGGATTGGAAGTGATTTTATTTTTCGTTAATGCAAAACTGGATGGTTTTCGGCACTCCCCAACGTTGCTCTGCAAAACCGTCCCGGGACAATTCTCTGAACCACCGTTTTTGGAGTAAGTGGAGGGTCAGTCGCATGGCGTCAGCAGGCCTGAATAGGCCTTTAACATGAAAACAGCCCCATGCCGGGAATCTCATGAGCAAGACTTCGGCTCAGGAACCCAGGGAAGTACCAAATACAGACTGTAAGCCGAAAGGGAGGGACGGCACATCTTAAGGACAGTGATTTCCAACTTTTTTCCCATGGAGGAACCCCTAAAATAATTTTTCATATCCCGAGGAACCCCAATGGAATGGGGCAATTTTTGTCTCCAGTCCACGTAATACCCATGGCCAAGTAACTGTCATTGTAAAGGCAAATTCTTTTAATATCAGTCACTTCTCTTCGGCTACGTCTACACTGGCATGATTTTCCGAAAATGCTTTTAATGGAAAAGTTTTCCGTTAAAAGCATTTTCGGAAAAATCGCATTGAGATTGGCAGGATGCTTTTCCGCAAAAACACTTTCGGAAAAAGACTTTTGCCCGAACGGGAGCAGAATAGTACTTCCGGAAAAGCTCTGATGATTTTACATGAGATCGTCAGTGCTTTCCGGGAAATTCAACCAGCCAGTGTAGACAGCTGGCAAGTTTTTCCGCAAAATCAGATGATTTTCCGGAAAAACTTGCCAGTCTAGACACAGCCTTCCTGTTTCACGCATACTTGGCTCTGATAATTTTGATTCATTTTCACTGCCCTCTCCTTCACTGACGCGCCTTCTTTTCACATACTTCCAATTGTTTTGATTTTCGACGGGCCGTATTAACATACTGTTACATAGAATAGTTGTAGAGATGCAGCCGTGTTAGTCTGACTGAAACAAAAGACAGGACTATGCAGCACTTTAAAGACTAACAAGATGGTTTATTAGGGGATGAGCTTTCGTGGTCAGACCCACTTCCTCGGATCAAATTGTGGAAGAAGATTGGGTTGACCCGAGTGCACAGGGTCTAGCGCTCTAGATAAAGGGAGCACCGAGTGTTATACGCGCAGCTGAAAGTTTAGCATCCCCGATGGAGCCGAGGTCCTGTCAGGAGCGCGTCAGGATGACCCGGATCGGACGACGCTGACAGTTCAGTAGCAGAGTTATAGCCGTGTTAGTCTGGATCTGCAAAAGCGACAAGGAGTCCTGTGGCACCGTATAGACGAACAGATGTATCGGAGCATCAGCTTTCGCCCGCAAAGCCCGGTTTTGTCAGATGCCTGCCGTGGAAATTGCCAGAGGCAGGTATAACTATGCAGGCAAGAATCAGGCTAGAGATACCAAGGTTAAATCAGGAAGGACGAGGCCCACTTCTAGCAGCTGATCTGGAGGTATGAACACCCCGAGAGCAGAAACTGCTTCTGTAGCTGGCTAGCCATTCACTGTCTTTGTTGAATCCCGAGCTGATGGTGTCACTGACCTTTCAGAGGTACCGAGGTACAAAACTGAAGGACGACACCAGTGAGCCCGACTGCTGAGCTGGCAAGAAGGCGAACGGTTCTGTTGATCTGTTTGCAATCTAACATCTAAAACGGCAGAAAATCACGAGTTCGGTAACTCCCATCTACATTCCCTTCAAACCCTGTTAGGTTTTGATGAAATACGGACCTGGTGGATTGCTAAAAAAGGAACATAACATAAGAACATAAGAACGGCCGTACTGGGTCAGACCAAAGGTCCATCTAGCCCAGTATCCTGTCTGCCGACAGTGGCCAACACCAGGTGCCCCAGAGAGGGTGGACTGAAGACAATGATCAAGTGATTTGTCTCCTGCCATCCCTCTCCAGCCTCTGACAAACAGAGGCCAAGGACACCATTTTATCCCCTGGCTAATAGCCTTTTATGGACCTAACCTCCATGAATTTATCCAGCTTCTCTTTAAACTCTATTATAGTCCTAGCCTTCACAGCCTCCTCTGGCAAGGAGTTCCACAGGTTGACTACACGCTGTGTGAAGAAGAACTTTCTTTTATTAGTTTTAAACTTGCTACCCATAGGAGTTTAAAAAAGAGTCTGGAGACACCAGTATATGTACAGCCACAGTAGAAACTGAAGCGTTGAAAAAGAGCAATAGTACTCAAAAGCCTAAAATTTTGCAACTTATGTCTATGGCAGCGAGGTGGCTTAAACAGCCGGCCACAGGGCTAGCCGCCCGAGGAATGGAACAGACTCGGGAAGAAAAAGAAGCAACCTTGGCAAAGAGAAAAGTGCCGTCCCTAGCAAAGCAACAGCCTTTGGGAACTTTCACAGGACCTGAAGCCGTGGGATAGAAATGACCAAAGGTGACCCGGGCAAATTTGAAAGATGAGACGGAGTCCACTGCAGTGCAACCGCAGCCGTCTGATAAAAGCCAGGTTCCAGCTGAACTTGGACGGGTGCCTGGCAGAAGGGGAAAAGTTAGTGCACTGAAGCGGTCAATAAAAGGAAGGAGACAATGGAACAGTTCACAGAGCTCACTAGCAGACAGAAGCTACGACTTGCTCGCAGGAATCTGAGCAAAAACGAATTTCAAGGTGAAAAAGCAAGATTACGCAGGCTCACAAGCATTGATGCAGGCACGCATGGAATTTCCCCGAAGTGCAGCATGTACAGGCACTCCGCAATTCGCCTCGCACGCTGACAACAACAGGCACTGTGGGAAGAAATTCAGTTTTTACAAGCGCAGGTAACTTCCCCCACTCATAGAGTCGGGATAAAAATCCAGGGTTCAGGTTTCCAACTACTCAAACCCATGGAAGCATGCCCTGCACTCAGCTAAAATGCATTCTTCTGTCTGAGATAGTTTTACATACCGGTATGTTTTCCTTTGTAGCTTTTTTCACTGTGCTAAATTTGCTGCTGGCTGTATTTTAGGGGAACTTGAACAGTTAAACTCTCTCGACTCGAGTCTCTTTACCTTCTCCCGACTCTCCCTCTCTCTGTTAAAAGTTAGTTTTTAATAGAAACTTTCAAAATAGAACATAATTCAAAATAGAACATAAGAAAGAAAACAGATAAGGTAAAATTTTACTTTAAATAATTCCCATAAATTAATTATTTTCATGCTTCAGGAATGCAACAGCTGGGATTACTCCCAACTTTCCTGAAGATAAGGTGGCGTTGGTACCTTGTCAACGCGGGCCATAGTGCGCAGTGGTGTAACATTGGACTGATCTCTGTTACCAACTGGTAGAGCTTTGCATTTGGCAATAAACCTGCTCGATTGATTTCAAACCTGGCCTGCATCCGTCGTTTCCGGGGTCTCTCAAAGTTCTCCTGTGTTGATCCAAGTGCATGGGGTGTAACGCTCTAGATAAAGGAAGTACCGATTGTTAAGCACGCAGCCGAAAGTTTCTCATCACCGACGGAGCATAGGTCCTGTCAGGAGCGCGCCAGGGTGACCCTGAGCAGGTGATGCTGTTCCTGACAGTTCAGACCACCGAAGGTACCGAGGTACTAAACTGAAGTACGACAGTTTTCATGTTTGAAAACCGGAGAGATTTTTTTTTCGGAGGTGAGCGATTTTCTAACCAAGCCCAGCAGTCACTCTGCGTGCAAACACGGACAGAATCGCAACAGGAGAAATGGGGATTATCTGAGATCGTTAATCTGGACGTTTTAGTCTGTGTCTATTCCACGTTTTCTTGGCTTTGGAACCACGACAGCCTTGGGTGAAAAGCGAAAACAAATTCTCTCCTTTCAGCGTCCACTGCGACAAGAAAGCCCCATTTTCACCCTCGACGTTGCTACCGTCTCAAACTGTCGGCCCAAGATTTGAGCCTGGCAGTATTTGGTGCTGGAACATGAAGGCGATTCCTTGTGGGGAAAGGCCAGCGTTTCTTTTAAACAACTCGCTAGCCTTCTAGCATCTTGGGCTGCGGAGAAACATTCAAACGGCTCAAACGGCAGAAAGCCAAATAGCGAGTCTTTTTAAAACTGTGATTTTTAGGCAAATCTCCTGATTTTTTGGGGGCAACTAAAGGATGGCCCAGGTTAGCAATGCTGCTCCTGAACGTTCACAGGACAAACTGGGCTCTCACATCAAAGATTATGAGTAAGCAAAAATGCATTTAAAGTGCTTAGCTAGTAATATGGTTTTATGTTTACAATGGCCAATTCATGTGCATCGATCAATGTTCATGCCTCATGGGAGGGCCTTTTCTGTACATGTTTCCTTTCTTTCTTTCTTTTCTGTAAATTTTCTTTTTCTTTCTTTCATTCTTTCTTTGTAAATTTTCTTTCTTTCTTTCTTTCTTTCTTTCTTTCTTTCTTTCTTTCTTTCTTTCTGTTGGGTGCGACTGAAATCTTGTCTAAAAGTTTCCCCCCGACAAACAGCTTTTCTGTGAAAATGAAATTCTCAGCTCACATTAGAGGGTTTTCAGGAAGGAACCCAACATGTCGTGAGTGCTGCAAACCCTCGAAATCTCAACCAAAGCATTTCTGTGCACGGCGAAGATTTTCTGTATTTTTCTCTCTCGCAGTTGCATTTTCTGAGTTTTCTCCACCACCCAAAGGGCTAGAAACTGGGTGTGTGGGAGTGTGAGTGTTTGGTAAACAAAAGCTACAAATGTCACCTCTCCGCCTGACCCCAAGAGCGAGGCGTTGAAGAAAAACCGCCGCCTATCAAGATAAACTGGCCAGAATTGTCAGGCACATCAGCAGGCCCACGCCCGGGAGGGAAATGCGGGCACTTTTAATGCACATCGTGGATTTTCTCCGGCGTGGCTCGGAACACACGGTGCCACGAAGTGACCTTACGATGTCGTTCCTGAGTCTGGCCTGCACAGCGACGGGACGGCGTCGAAGCGGAGACCGGCGGCCTCGGAGCTCGGGCCATGTGTCCCAGGGGCGTGTCGACGGAGGGGAAAACAAGGCTCCGACGCAGGACGGGCGGGAGGGCACGGTGGGGTGTCTGGCCGAGACAAGCCGTGGGTGGACCATGGGTTGGCCAGCCGGGAAGACCCGGGGACCATACACCCGGCTTGGAAACCAAGAGTTGCCAGGCCACAAGACCCAGCGAAGGGCGTGACGGACTCAGCCAGAGTCCTGTGGCTGGCTCAGGGCAGGAAGTGGGGGCTAGTGGTTAGAGTGGGGGAGCGTTAGGAGCCGGGACGCCTGGGTTATCTCCCCATTTCTGGGAGGGTGGTGGGGTCTAGTGGTTAGAGGGGGGGAGGATTGGGAGCTGGGATTCCTGGCTTGGGATGGGGAGAGGGGTCTGTCTGTCTCTCTCTCTCTCTCTTGCTGACCCTCGGGCCTTGGATCCCTCAGGCTGCTGGGCGCAGGAGGTCCGGGTTTCCCAGCCCGGCTCTGTGCGGGCCCCCGAGGGCGGCTCCGTCACCCTGCCCTGCCGGTACAACAGCAGCCGGCCGGCGGCGCTGGGCAGTTACCGCTGGGTGAAGGAGGAGGCGGGCGCCCGGCTGGAGGTGAGCGACGCCACCCTGCAGTTCCGGGGCCGGGTGAACGGCACCCCCAGCCGCAGCTTCCTGCAGGACCGGCGAGCAGACGTGCGGCTCCGCGACCTCAGGCCCTACGACGCCGGGACCTACCGGTGCTGGGTGAAGATCCCCACGGTGGGAGAGGGGGAGGGGAACGGGACCCGGCTCCTGGTGGTGAAAGCGGGTGAGTCCAGGGCAGCCCAGGAGGCCTGGGTTCCCTGCGGGGTCTGGGAGGGGAGCGGGGGCTAGTGGTTAGAGCAGGGGGGCTGGGAGCTAGGACTCCTGGTTTTTCCCCTTGGCTCTGCAAGGGGAGTGGGGGCTAGTGGTTAGAGCAGAAGGGGGGAGCGCAGGGCAGCACAGGAAGGAAGAGAGAAAGGAAGGGTGCGAACAGGTATCTATTCATCATCCAGCTGCTTTCTCTCACTCTCCCTTTTCTCCTCTCCTCTCCTGCCTGCCAGACACCCCCTCACTCCCCCCGGACTCCCCGGCACTGGGCACCCTCGGCTTGTTGGCTCTGGGAGGGGAGCGGGGATTAGTGGTGAGAGCAGGGAGGGGTGCTGGGAGCCAGGACTCCTGGTTTTTCTCCTGGCTCTGGGAGGGGAGCGGGGGCTAGTGGTTAGAGCAGAAGGGGGGAGCGCAGGGCAGCACAGGAAGGAAGAGAGAAAGGAAGGGTGCGAACAGGTATCTATTCATCATCCAGCTGCTTTCTCTCACTCTCCCTTTTCTCCTCTCCTCTCCTGCCTGCCAGACACCCCCTCACTCCCCCCGGACTCCCCGGCACTGGGCACCCTCGGCTTGTGGCTGGGCACCGCTGTGGGGGTCGCTTTCGGAGTTGCCGTCCTGCTTTGGATCTGCCGCAAGCGGAGAAAAGGTGAGAGCTGGGGAGGGGGCTGCCCGCAACTCGAGACAGAGATTTTACCCTTAACTCTGACCCTCCCCAGGGCTCCTACCTCGATTCCAACTCCCTCAGCAGGAGACTCCACCCTGGCTTCCTAACCAGGGGCCCTGACCCCTAACTGGGGATCTTGACCCCTTACCAGGGACTTTGACCCTAACCAGAGACCCCGATGCTCACCCTGACCCCTAAGCAGGGAGCCTGACCCATTGATTATTGGCTATTGATTAATAATGACTGGTCATTGACTCATTGTTATCAGTGATTGGCAACTAATTATTAGCTATTCATTACTAGCTACTGAGAGCACTGATTGGTAATTGGCTCCTGGCTATCGGTTGTTACCTACTGATTCTTGTTTGCTGACTTCTAAATATTTATCACTATTTCCTGACTATCGGCTACCGATTCTTGTTTGCTGGCTATCGAATATTTATCACTATTTCCTGACTATCAGCTACTGAGTCTTGTTTGCTGACTACTGAATATTTATCACTATTTCCTGACTATCGGCTACCGATTCTTGTTTGCTGGCTACTGAATATTTATCACTATTTCCTGACTAATGGCTACCGATTCTTGTTTGCTGGCTACTGAATATTTATCACTATTTCCTGACTAATGGCTACCGATTCTTGTTTGCTGGCTACTGAATATTTATCACTATTTCCTGACTAATGGCTACCGATTCTTGTTTGCTGGCTACTGAATATTTATCACTATTTCCTGACTAATGGCTACCGATTCTTGTTTGCTGGCTACTGAATATTTATCACTATTTCCTGACTAATGGCTACCGATTCTTGTTTGCTGGCTACTGAATATTTATCACTATTTCCTGACTAATGGCTACCGATTCTTGTTTGCTGGCAATTGCCCTAATTGTGGCCCCTCCCCCCAGACAGGAGAGACGCACGACCCCGGACGGAAGCCCTGGTGCAACCCCCACGGTGCCCCACAGATGTGGGTCCGTTTCCCCCCCACTCCAGGCCCAGCTCCTCCGCCCCCCTCCACTGTGCAGGATCCCAGGGGGTGGGGGATGGTTGGGGGT